TAGTACAAAGTGTTGGTTTTGACCTTTAAAGCCCTACATGGTTGACCTTTAAAGCCCTGCTCCTTCACTTGGACACTGAAGTCCTCTTGGGGGGGGGGGGGGGGGGGGGGGGGGAGTTGCTCCAACCAGCCAGAATCCGACTGCGGATTGTTACCCAGAGGACTCCCTTTTCATTGGCTGCCCCACGACTGTGGAATGACCTGCCGGAAAGATCAGGCAGCTAAACAAGGTGTCAGAATTTAAAACGCAATGAAGACCCATCTCTCCCAGCAGGCCTACCCAATCAACTTTCAATCATGGGTTTTGATTTGCATTCTATTAGCACTATATGTCAATTCTGCAGCTGTGTTTGGTATAACTTTTCATATATTGTTTATCATGGGTTTCAGTAATGGGTTTTGATTTGCAATCTATTACCACTATATGTCAATTCTGCAGCTATGTTTGGTATAACTTTTCATATATTGTTTATGTGTATCTATGAACTTTAGTAATTTATTGCATTTTTATATTCACTTGTTTTTTTAATTTGTTGCACCCCGACTCGAGCCATCAGGAGAGGGGGGCAATAAATAAAATGTATTTTTTAGTATTTATGTGAAAGTTTATTCTTCTACCAGTTTTAATGCAAGAAAAGGCAGACTTCATACTTTATACTGAAAAATTAAGTCATGCAGGAATTCATAACTTGGGTGCTACTTATTTTTAAATTTCCTTTCCTGTTATAATTTGAACTGTTGTCTTTTTGTCATGCTGAGCTGTAAGGTAAACACACAGCCTTTTCCCAGTTTTCATTGCAAATATGCAGTGTATGAGCTTCAGCTACAGCATTCCAAGTAGGTAGCTGGCTTCTTTTTGAAGATATTTATAGTTGTTTCCAAGATGCTCTTATTGTCAAGAAGTTCCTTCTAATGTTAAGGTTAGGAACTTAGAGCATTTAGCTCTAAGTTGCACTCAGCTCCAGCTACCATGTGGTCATCACTTGCATGATTCACAGGGAAATATTTTCTCTAGGGAAATATGGGAAAAGTTATAATAGATTCTCTTTTGTCATAAAGAAATTAAAGAAATTAACTAATTGTCAAGGAACTTGCAAAAAAAGAAGTTTCCCATGTGAAGCCCTGAAGTACACCCTTGAATCCGCCACATTTTCAGCCTCCCATTTCCCTCATCTTCTCATCCAACATTGTGATTGGTGAACAACTCAATTCCCACATACCATATATACTCAAGTATAAGCCAACCCGAATATAAGCCGAGGCACCTAATTTTACCACAAAAAAAACCAAAAAAAAACCTGGGGAAACATTGACTCAACTATAAGCTGAGGGTGGCAAATGCAGCAGCTACTGGTGAATTTCAAAATAAAATAGATACCAATAATACTACATTAATTGGGGCATCGGTAGGTTAATAATAATAATGATGATGTGGTTGCAAAGGTTGTGGAAAATGAACATGCAAAAATACTGTGGGACTTTCGAATCCAGACTGACAAAGTTTTGGAACACAACACACCAGACATCACAATTGTGGAAAAGAAAAAAGTCTGGATTATTGATGTCGCCATACCAGGTGACAGTCGTATTGAGGAAAAACAGGAAAAACTCATCCGCTATCAAGACCTCAAAATAGAACTGCAAAGGCTCTGGCATAAACCAGTCCAGGTGGTCCCAGTGGTAATGGGCACACTGGGTTCCGTGCCAAAAGATCTCAGCCGGCATTTGGAAACAATAAACATTGACAACATCACGATCTGTCAACTGCAAAAGGCCACCTGACTTGGATCTGCGCACATCATTCGAAAATACATCACACAGTCCTAGACGCTTGGGAAGTGTTCAACTTGTGATTTTGTGATACGAAATCCAGCATATAGAGCTCATTTGCTGTGACATACTATGCCTTTGTGTCAATAATAATAATAAACAACTTTATTTGTATTCCACCCTATCTCCCCGAGGGGACTCAAGGCGGATTCCAACATAACAATGGCAAGCATTCAATGCCTTCATAAAACACACTTTACTAACATAAAATCCCAGAAAACCCCCACATATAAAACATTAAAGCCTAACATCAAATTAAGACCTAACATCAATAAATCAAACCTGACATCAATAAATTAAACTACATATAATCAGACCAAGTTCTATAATAACATAAATCTAAACAAAACACACACATTAGTGCACAACATCCAGCAAGGGTTCACAAAACGGTGTGGGTTGGTTATGTAGTTAAATGAGGTCATTAGGCTGGTATGGACCAGGAAAGCCTAAATACACATAGTTCTCAACCAGAGGTCTGGTAGTGATTCAGTGTCTTTGAATATTTACATAAAAGTATAATTGAAGATAAGACTGTGCAACTCTGATTAAACCATTATTCTAACCTTCTTCAATGTAAATGTGCTTGTGTATCCTTCCAATAATAAGAGTAAAATAATAAATATAATAATAATAGATTAAAATAATAAATAACTGACTCGAATATAAGCTGAGGGGGACCCTTTCAGCCTTTCAAAGGGGCTGAAAAAGTCAGCTTATACTCGAATATATACGGCAATTGTTCTGGAGACTCTTCAAATCTACTCCTGTGAACTTCACAGTTTCCCCAACATGATCAATACCTCCTCCATCTTGCGATTTTGGCTACACAATCACCAGCATTCATCTTTGAACAGCGGAAACAGAAGGAATGGCGTAAACAACAAATGCTGAACACCATGATAACAACACATGTCTTCTGGGTCTGCCTGCCAACTATAACAACAACCAATTATTTTTATAAGTCTTCCTCCCTTGGCTTTCTCATAACACTGATGATTTTCCAGAAAAACTGGGCTCAGAGCTATATCTCCGGAGTTTTATCCCTTAGAAAAAGCAGAAATCTTCAACTATGTTCTCCCCTTGGCTTGAAGATTTCTGCTTTTTCTAAGGGACAAAACTCTGGAGATATAGCTCTGAGCCCATTCACCCATGAAGCCCATCAGACAGCTTGACAGGTGTCCCATGCTCCCTGTCTCACTTTGGGGTGGCAAAGATAAACCGGCTCAACTGTTTGATGGCCATTTCCAGCTTCTTGGAAGACAGAATACATTTCCAGAGATTATAATGTCCTCTCCATTTCATGACAAATGAACAACAGCTGAAAGACAAGGGTAGCATTCGAAAAGGAAAAAAACTTGATTGTGGATACATAAACAAGTCGGCAAGGTGTACCAATATATCATTTATTATTTTGCACAATGGAGAAACATCACCAGTGTTATAAATGCAGCTTCCTCCACACTGAATCCATGCTATTGCTTGTTGTGTCTTCCATAAAGAAAGCCACTATCTGCTTAACACACCCAAGACAGAAGTGGGAGCAATGTGGTTCCCAAGATATGGCTGGCCCAACCCTCCAGGCTGGACCTACACTGCCAAACAATGCAATTGGAGGAGCATTATATGCGTCTACATGACTTTATAATGCATTATTTGGCAGTGTAGATATAACTCCAGATGTTTTTGTGATGCTCCACATCTCCAGAAAACCAAACTTGCCCTTTTTTAGGGGGGAAAGGTGAATCACTGTTTTTAGAAGACTCTGGGTATAGCAATCCATTCTTTATAAAACTCTAAATTATAAGTGTCAACGTTTCCCTGTACTGTTTAACATTTTAAAAACCCTCCCATATGGGAAACAGAAGTGGATTTTTCCAGCCATCTTGTGGTGGTTTGTGTTCCTTTTGTCTTGGGTTGTTTCCAATAATAATAATAATAATAAATGTAGTAATAATAATAATAAATGTAGTATATAAATGTAGTTAATAATAATAATAATAATAATAGATCTCATAATCATTTTTAAAAAAACAAGTGTGAATTGTCGATGTTGCAATCCAGGCAACAGCAGGATTGAAGAGAAACAACTGGAAAAGCTGACACGATATGAGGATTTAAAAATTGAACTGCAAAGTCTCTGGCACAAACCAGTCAAGGTGGTCCCAGTGGTGATCGGCACACTGGGTGCAGTGCTTCAAGACCTTGGCCTGCACTTAAACACAATTGGCGCTGACAAAATTAGCATCTGCCAGCTGCAAAAGGCCACCCTACTGGGATCTGCATGCATTATTCGCCAATATATCACACAGTCCTAGACACTTGGGAAGTGTCCAACATGTGATCCAATACAATAGCCAGCAGAGTGACCTTGTCTGCTGTGTACTAATCTTTTGTGTTTCAAATGAATAAATATTTATATACGCTTAAACATATATATGCATACAATATATGTATACATATAATTGTGTAATATATATAATGGGGATTATAATATATGTATATATTATATATAAAGTTTCACTTATATTTACAGATACTTAAATATACATACATATATATATATTTATATATATTACATTATATATTTCTTATGGGGACTATGTTTATAGATTAAGCCACTCCAATTCCCCTCAAGGAGGTGGAGCGGGATATAAATAAAATTGTTCATTAATATTATTATATATCATATATAGAGTGTCACATATATTTATAGATATTTAAATATATGTAGGCTTACAATATGTATACATAAGTATAATTACATAATATACGTATCTTATGGGGATTATAATATATGTGTATATATATTATATATGCATATCTACAGTTTCACATTATACGTATATATCATGTATACAATTTCATATATATTTATAGGTACATAATATATATAATGATATAATATATATGAATAATGGGGATTATAATATATGTATGTATATACATTATACCGTTTCAAATATATTTATACGTATAGTTTCACATATTTATAGATACTTAAATATGTTGTTATACAATATATATATGTAAAAATATAATATAAACTGCAGTTTTATTATTATTTATGTTATGTGTGTGTATAATATATACACCTCTCTCTATAGATACATAAAAAGATATTTTCATTCCAAGCAAAAGGAGATAAAATACAAAAAGGCCGCATTTTACCTCAAACTGGAGGCCTGCTTCTGTTCCTTCCTCCGCCTCTCTCCGCTGTTAAATAATTTCAAATTTCTGCTTCAGTTCCAAACTGGCCAATCACTGTGCGCCCGTCGTGATTGCACGCACCTGATTGGGCGGGGAAAAGTATTAAAATGAGGACACTGCCTCTTTCCGTTTGCAGTTTTTTAATATATCTCTCCCAGCAGGCCTACCCAATCAACTTTCAATCATTGGTTTTGGTTTTATTATTATTATTATAACTTTATTTGTACCCCGCTAACATCTCCCGCAGGATTCGATGCGGCTTACAATAGGCCGAAGCCCAACACAAAACAACAATACAATATCTAGCAACTAAAAACAGTTAAGCAGAAAAAACAATAACAATAGCAATACGATAAGACAATATTAAAAACTGGGTCGGCCAGAGTGGGGTACAAGGTTAAAAAGTGCTGATGTGTCGGAGGAGTATGGGATTATGATATAAGTGCAGTGTGCGGTGATTTTGGTACTAAAGTACGGTGTCACCTGTACGCAGATGATGTCCAACTCTGTCACTCCTTCCACCTGCTACTAAGGAGGCTGTCGAGGTCCTGAACCGGTGCCTGGCCGCTGTAACGGTCTGGATGAGGTGAACAAATTGAAATTGAATCCAGACAAGACCGAGGTATTACTGGTCAGTCGAAAGGCCAAACAGGGCTTAGGGTTACAGCCTGTGCTGGATGGGGTGACATTCCCTCTGAAGGCGCAGGTTTGCAGCTTGGGAGTGATTCTGAAACCTCAGGTTTCAGTGGTGTCCAGGGAAGCTTTTGCACAATTAAAACTTGTGCACTAGTTGTGCTCATGTCTTGGGAAGCCATTACACATATTACTGCCCGTACCTTGGGAAGTCTGACTTGGCCACGGTAGTCCACGCTCTGGTTACATCCCGTTTAGACTACTGCAACGCTCTCTACGTGGGGTTGCCTTTGAAGACAGCTCGGAAGCTCCAACTAGTCCAACGCTCGGCAGCCATGATTCTAACAGGAGCGGAGCGCAGGGAGCATACAACCCCCCTGTTGCGCCAACTCCACTGGCTACCGATCTGCTACCGGGCTGAATTCAAAGTGCTGGCGTTGGCCTTTAAAGCCCTAAACGGTTCCGGCCCAAGCTACCTATCCGACCGCATCTCTGCCTATGAACCCACCAGGACTTTGAGATCTTCCGGGGAGACCCTGCTCTCGATCCCGCCTGCTTCTCAAGCTCGGCTGTGGGGACGAGAGATAGGGCCTTCTCGGTGGTGGCTCCTCGGCTGTGGAACACCCTTCCCGCGGACATCAGGCTAGCCCCCTCCCTGCTAATATTCCGCAGGAAGTTAAAGACCTGGCTATTTAAGAAGGCATTTGATCAATAGTGCAATGATTGGCAATTGACCATAGGAATGGAACACCGGAAATGAGATCGGATTGTGGCTTGACGATGAGACGACTCGGAATGTAGTAGTGATTTTGTAGTGATGTTGTTGTTTGATAAGATGTTTTTATGATTAGGATGAATTGTACACTGTTTTGCACTATGTCTTGTTTTCTTGCACTTGTTTTCTTCATGTTGTACACCGCAATGAGTCGCCCTGAAGGGCTGAGAATTGCGGTATATAAGCGCAGTAAATAAATAGTAAATAAATATAACACATATGTTATAATCTCCATAAGATACATATATTATGTAATTATACTTACATATACATATTGTAAGCCTACATATATTTAAATATCTATAAATATATGTGACACTCTATATATGATATATAATAATATTAATGAACAATTTTATTTATATCCCGCTCCACCTCCTCAAGGGAACTCAGAGTGGCTTAATCTATAAGCATAATCCCCATAAGATATATATATATATATATCAATTTATATTTTATAAATAAATAAAACATATTTAATATATTTAAGTATCTATAAATATAAGTGAAACTTTATTTTATTATTTATTTATTTATTTCAATTACTTTTACCCCGCCCTTCTCACCCCGAAGGGGACTCAGGGCGGCTTACAGACGAAGGCACAATTTGATGCCTGAGTTAACTAACAAATAATACAGAAAGCAATTCAACAGTTAACAAATTAAAAACATCAATACATAGTAAAAATAGCAAAACAATCTCATGCTCAGTGTTCAGAGTCCGTATGTCCATTCCATTCCATCTGTCCTTATTTATCATCAGATCCTTTAGCTGCCAGAATGACCAAAGGCTTGGTCCCAAATCCAGGTCTTCAATTTTTTCCTGAACGTCAAAAGGGAAGTCGCTGATCTTATCTCCCCGGGAGTGAGTTCCACAGGTGAGGGGCCACCACTGAGAAGGCCCTGCTTCTCGTCCCCGCCAACCTCATTTGTGATAGTGGCGGAATCGAGAGCAGGGCCTCCCCAGATGATCTTAAGCTTCGAGATGGGATGTAGAGGGAGATCCGTTCGTGGTGGGCAGTGTCCTTTGGTTTTGAAGTTGTAGTTCACCTACATCCAGAGAGCACTGTGGACTCAAACAATGATGGATCAGGACCAAACTTGGCACAAATGCTCAGTATGCCCAAATGTGAACAGTGGTGGAGTTTGGGGAAAATAGACCTTGACATTTGGGAGTTGTAGTTGCTGAGATTTATAGTTCACCTACAATCAAAGAGCATTCTGAACCCTATCAACGAGAGAATTGGGCCAAACCTCCCACACAGAACCCCCATGACCACCAGAGTGGGCCATAGCAACGCTTGGCAGGGGACGGCTAGTATATAATATATGCTTATATTATAATTCCCATTAGACACATATATTATATAATTATACATATGTAAATATATTATTTGCTTACGTATATATAAATATGTGTGGCTTGAGGCTGGATACAAAATAATTAAAACATAAACAGTTTTAAGATACTACAAGTCCACATATTAAAATGTATTGCTATATAAGCTACATATTAAAGCTTATTTCTTTAGAATACACATTAAAATACCCTTCACGAGCCAACTTAAAATAACTGAGGTGTTTCAATTAAAAAATAACAACCAAAGTTGAGAGGAAGGAAGGAAGGAAGGAAAGGAGATGGGAAGGAATAAAAAGGGAAGGAAGAGAAAGGAAAAGGGTAAAAGGTATGACAGGAGGGAAGAAAAAAATAGAATTATATCTACACTGGGTCATATCTACACTGCCGGATTATTATTATTATTATTATTATTGACTTTATTTATACCCCGCAAAATCACCCGAAGGACTCGATGCAGCTTACAAAGGCCAAGGCCGCCAACAAACAACAACATACAAATATACAGTAAAACTCATAAGCAAATAATAAAACATCAAGCAAAAACAATAAAACACTAAAAACAATGACACCATGACGCATTTAAAACCTCGATCCCGCCTGTGAGGCAGGCGGGATCGAGAGCAGGGCCTCCCCGGAAGATCTCAAAGTCCTCGTGGGCTCATAGGCCGAGAGGCGGTCAGTTAGGTATTTTGGGCCGTTTAGGGCTTTATAGGCCAGTGCCAGCACCTTGAATTCAGCCCGGTAGCAGATCGGCAGCCAGTGGAGCTGGTACAGTAGGGGGGTTGTATGCTCCCTACGTCCCGCTCCTGTTAGCATCATGGTTGCCGCACATTGGACTAGTTGGAGCTTCCGGGCCGTCTTCAAAGGCAAGCCCCACGTAGAGAGCGTTGCAGTAGTCTAAGCGGGATGTAACCAGAGCGTGGACTACCGTGGCCAAGTCAGACTTCCCGAGGTACGGGCACAGCTGGCGCACAAGCTTTAGCTGTGCAAATGCTCCCCTGGTCACCGCCGAGACCTGGGGCTCCAGGCTCAGCGATGAATCCAGGATCACACCCAAGCTGCGAACCTGCGCCTTCAAGGGAGCGACCCCATCCAACACAGGCTGTAACCCTATGCCCTGTTCGGCCTTGCGACTGACCAGGAGTACCTCTGTCTTGTCTGGATTCAATTTCAATTTGTTCGCCCTCATCCAGACCGTCATAGCGGCCAAGCACCGGTTCAGGACCTCGACAGCCTCCTTAGTAGCAGGTGGGAAGGAGTGACAGAGTTGGACATCATCTGCGTACAGATGACACCGTACCCCGAAACTCCGGATGATCTCGCCCAGCGGCTTCATGTATATGTTAAACAACATGGGGGACAGTATTGAACCCTGAGGAACCCCACAAGTCAAAGGCTGTGGTGTTGAACAGGTGTCCCCCAATAACACCTTCTGGGTGCGGCCCTCCAGAAATGACCGGAGCCACTGCAAAACAGTGCCCCCGAGACCCATTTCCGCAAGGCGCCCCAGAAGGATACCGTGGTCGACGGTATCGAAGGCCGCTGAGAGGTCCAGCAGAACTAACAGGGACACACTCCCCCTGTCGAGCTCCCGGCGCAGATCATCCACTAAGGCGACCAAGGCTGTCTCGTTACCATGTCCCGGCCTAAAGCCAGACTGTGCCGGGTCTAGATAATCCGTGTCTACCAAGAATACCTGGAGTTGTGAGGCCACCACACGTTCCAAGACTTTGCCCAAGAAGGGGAGATTGGAAACTGGCCGATAGTTGTCGAATTTAGTGGGGTCCAGTGATGGTTTCTTCAACAGCGATAATGAAATAATATATATGAATAATGGGGATTATAATATATGTATGTATATACATTATACCGTTACAGCGTTTCAAATACATTTATACATATATAGTTTCACATATTTATAGATACTTAAATATGTTGTTATACAATATATATTACAGCGATTCATATATATATTTATAGGTACTTAATATAATGATATAATATATATGAATAATGAGGATTGTAATATATGTATATATATAATACAGTTTTACATAGATTTATATATAGTTCCACATATTTATAGACACTTAAATATGTTGTTATACAATATATATTATACATTATATATATAATATGTAAAAATATAATATAAAATGCAGTTTTATTATTATTTATGTTGTGTGTGTGTATAATATATACATCTCTCTCTATAGATACATAAAAAAATGTTCATTCCAAGCAAAATGAGATATAATACAGAAAGGCCGCACTTCTTACCTCAAACCGAAGCCAGCTCCTCTTGAGTT